CTCTGCCGTCCTCTTCTCCTTTTGCCTTCAATCTTTCCCAGCATCAGGGTCTTCTCCAAAGAGTCCTCTCTTCGCATTAAGTGACCAAAGTATCTGAGCTTGAGCTTCATTATCGATCCTTCCAATGAGCAATCAGGGTTGATTTCCTTTAAGATTGACTGGCATCAGTTAATTGTCAGATTGATTGTGCCCAATGGTAAGAGGGACAGGATGCAAAACACAAGAGGCCTGGCAGGGCCCGGGAACTGCCTTGCCAGATGTCTGTCCTAGCCTAGTTATGAAATGAACAAACATAAATCACCAGGGCCCAGTACAATGCAGTCAGTCCAGACCACTCTTCCCAAGCATCAGGCACATTAAGAATGATGCTTATGTAACAAATATATCCAGATGCTTCAAGCAGACTCTGTTACTTTAAGTGGCTTAGGGTCACTTAAGATGGCCCCAGAGAAGTATCTGCCACTGGGCATTTTTCTTGACCATGCTCTATGAAGAGAAACTGGGGGAAATGATACTTCTTTAGCATATAACTGAGAATGGTCACTGTGATTTGCATAATTATAGGATATAACAGCATAAGCATCAACTAACTTCAGATACAGCAAGGTTACTGTGTATTTGGGGAGGGGGGGTACTTTGCTTATGGAGTTCAGTGTGTAAACTGATTAATACACAGAAGAGAATGTCAGTTTAACTTAGGATGTTAACATTTTAAAGCTACTTACCTAAGCAGAAAATTGATGCCAAAATCTTGAGCCATTCACGTTGACCTTCTGGAAGTGGAAGGGAGTACTGTCTTAGCACCTTACAAAGAAAACAATCATTTTAAAAAAGAGACATAATGAATGCTATTTCACCAACACTAGCTACAGTTTTCTGCACAAATTTAAACATTAACTTGACTTATCCTGAATTATGCCTATTCAGTGACCTCAATTCCTGAAAATGTTTATTCCTAGCTATTGTAGATTCAAAATCCAGCAGAAATCAATGAGCTTCTCTTGTAAATAAGTGTGCTCAGGATCACAGCCAGAATGTAAATGATTATCTCCTTCATAAGTCTCCAGCCAGTCTTCAGAGGAGTCACAGAACTCTACTTGACTAACATTCAGTTACTGTGGCCAAAACCATTGGATGTCAACTGGATATTCAGGCCAAATTCCTTTCCAATCAGCTAATCACAGCCTTCTCTGGAGATGCAATTGAATCTAGTATTATTCCTTTCCTTCTTTGTTGCCAGACCCAGGAATATACAAAGAATGAGTCAGAACCTCATCTGAATCAAAGCTCATTTAATTGTTCTAAATTCAAGTGATTGAAAAATAGACGTACATCATTGCTTTGGATACTGGGTTTTCCTACTTGGTTATAGAATCCAAAACCCAATGCCTTTGTACAGATTTCTGTAATGAAATAATCCCTTCCTTCCTTTTCTTTCTAGTGACAGAGCAGAATAAAAAAGTATTGCATTCATTTTTCCTCATTCTGCATCAGACTCTAAAAGTTCACAAGAAATCTGCCTTTTTGTGTATTTCTCATAGGTATCTTTATTAATAGTTTTGCCTAACAAACAGGTGTGACTGGGCTACTGCAATCCAGTCTGCATAGAGCTTCCCTTGAAAGCCATTAGGAAGCTTCAGCTGGTGAGGCAGCCTGGATAGTTATACCAAAGTTCCCCACATAATGCCTCTACTTTGGTAACTGTACTGGCTGCACTCCACTCCTTGGGAAGCTGTACTGAGTCCCAAATTCAAGATGCTGGTTATTTCTTTTAAAGCTTTATATGGCTCAGGACCTGGATACCTTCCAGACTGCCTTCTCCAAACTAAAACTACCCATGTGGTAAAATCAGGGGGAGAAGGCTTGTTGGGGGTCCCATTGAGCCTCCTCAGTGCCAGTGCCCCTTCTTGGAACAGTCTGCCCCCAGATATCTGGACTACTCCCTTCCTGTTGGACTTTCGAAAGGCTATAAAGATGTGGCTGTTCAAGGTACCATTTGAACATTTGGGAGGTGATGAGGATTAGCCACCCCCCAGTTGGTGGAGTGTCTATTGTCCATAATATTATACTGGTCAATCTTGTTTTACTCTTTTTAACCCTTATTAGTGAATATCAATCACTTAGAGGCTGCTGGAACTAGTAGCATAGAAATCATAGTAAACAAAACTAATAAATATTAAAAAGGCTAACAGAATCAGTCACCCTCTGGGAGAGATGGTCGGCATATACATTTAATAAATAAATAAATCATACTAGAAATCCCCAAAACCATTGTGGGCAAAAATGTCAGACCACAAAAGTAAGTTAGTGGGTGATCTTAATTGACTTAAAAAAAAAACCCATACATAAAATGTATGATTATATTATAAAATTTTAATGGGGTAATCAAGAGAGTCAAGTCCCTCTAGAACCTTTAGAAGAAACTCAAAACCACAATATTAGAAACTCTAGGGAAAAAAGACTAAATCAGGAAAGGTACCATCAAGGACAAGAAGTTGCCAATGTGGTTTGAAAACAGGGTCAATCGTCATTAAGAAAAGAAAATAGGATTCTATCAGAAATGTATAGACTTATCCAAACAAACAGAATAAAACAAATATCTTTGGGCACAAGAAATACAAATGCATTTTAATGAACTTATGATTCATACCAAGGAAAATAAAAAGTAAAGCAATTATTTTTAATGCCAGCTACAGATGTGATTGGATTGTTGGATTACAAGGGCAGATACTTATGCATGAAGTGACCTTTTAGGGAGTCTGCTAAAGGTGACAAATGCAGTTTTAGACCTTATTGTTTGAGAGTTCTTGAACTCCAAGGCAAAACTGATGACTGCTCTAATGCCGCCTGACCAGAAAAGCTATCTTGTGGATGAGAAACCAATGAAGGAATCAATGCAATGTGCTGCTGTGATGAGGGGAAAAAAAAAAAAAGGAAAAATTTATGGAGGAATATTTAGGAAGAAATATTTTAAAAACTGCCAATATCATAATCCTTCTAAAATATAAATAAAATTAACATGACAGAAGTGTACAAAATTATGCAGGGCGTAAGAAAGCATATATTTGTTTTTCCCTCAAAGGACTAGGGCCCTGGGTCATCCTATGAAGTTGAATGGTGAAAAACTCATGATAGATAAAAGGAAGTCAATTTGCTAAGACAAAATGTAGTGATGCCTCCCACTTGGATAACTTTAAAAGGATTAGGAGGATTAGATTATCACTAGCTACCAGTCATGATGGCTCCAGATTACTTCAGTATCAGAAGCAGAAGGCCTATGACTATCAGTTGCTAGAGAACATAAATGGGAGATTTCTGCTATGTTCACATTCTGCTTGCACGTTTTCCATAGGCATCTGGCTATTAGCCACTATTGGTAAACATATCAGACAAGTCTTTGGTCCAATCCTACTATTATCATTACTTTCCCTACACTAATAATCAACAACTGGAACCAGTAGAGATTGTGCAGAAATTCCACATTCTCACAATTAGCACTAAATGGGATGGCACTTAAATTTATAGTAGTCTGCAATAAAGGGAAGTTGGCATATTGATGTATAGAAGTTAGACAGCAGAGCCCAGGATCTCATGGGAAAGGCAATACAAAAAATACTATGATGTCTGGTCAAGGGGAAAACAGTAAATACTTTCTTTATACATGTTTCTGGCAAAGATCCTTCTCTGTTACCTGCTTGCCAAAGACCAAACTTAGAAAATTCTGCATATAAAGAATATATAACTTTAACAGAAACTACACTCTTCTATAAACTTTAACAGAAACTATAGTGCTTCAACTTTCACGTTAAGAACAAAGTAAAGCATAAGCAGTACCCAGGAAGATGCACAAGTAATATCTATCAGATCCAGTGACTCCCTTGATCATTCAGACTACAAAGCAAGACAGAGCTGGAAATTTTAATATTATAGCAAGAGATTCTTGCCCATTCTAACTTTTGCCAGACCTCAGGGGTGCTACACCAAAGTCTCAGTTTCAGGATTGATGTATATCAGCCTTTTAGAAAGAGAACTGACATGGGTGAGATCAATGAACTTGGATACAGCTTGAGAAGCAGCATTTGCTCCCACGCCAACACTCTAATGACTAGAAAACATGGGGTTTCTGCAGCATGGGGGGACTCACCAACTCCTGAGAGCCCCTCTTCAAATGTTAGAAGAGCTGAACAGGCCTGGCAGGCAATATTGGCAGCACTGCTTCCTAAAGCATTACAGTTACTAGGTAAGCCATGCCTGGCAAACATCTCCTTACCATGCTGTTATTCAAAGCCCAGGATTACACTTCAAGAATACCTCAGGTTTTTCTTTAAGACTCAGTATTGGCAGCTGTCCCAGGTACAGGTCAGCTCCTCCAATACTGCTCGCCTGAAGTGTAAGGATTTAAAACAGTCACTTCACACACAATGTTCAGCCAACACAATAACATTTTAAATGTGGTGATCTGAAGATTAAACAGGTTTTACAAAATATCTCTCTGGCTCCACACAACACCATAGTCCATCATGTCCTTACTTGTTAAAAAAAAAAATCTATTGGTCATAATGTGACAGGGATCCTAGCAGCATAATTAAAATGCTGCTGAAGAATGTTGCCTTAATATTTATACAATGTCCAAGTTAAGTGTTGGGTAATTTGCTGAAAACTGCCAGAGCTTTGTTCTGTAAATCAACCTTTCCAAACTTGTTATACTTCAACACTAAGACTACAACTCCCATGGCCATCGATTTAAGTAGCTAAGAGTTATGGATGATGTAGTTCCAACAAATTCTGAGAGTTATCAGCTTGGGAAAGGCTAAAGTAGAACATTTTCCCATCTAGCTGAGCTATGAAGCAAATGCGCCCACTCTTTATTTACTCCACCATAAAAGCCATAAATGTATAAACCCATAATGTCTGGCTTCATAGTAAACACTAAACCAAAATCAAACAAACCATATTATGGTTCAATATAGTAGGAGGTCCCACTCTGTAATTTGAAACCTATCTGTACTTCCTTAGCTCTTAAACCCAAAGCCTCTATTTTTCCCTGTGCAAGCAGGCATGTGCTGTAACACTCTTTCCCTAAAAGAGAGAAACCAGACCAAAGAGGTATTAAGTGAAAACGGTTTGGCTGATGCTCCTGTAATATCTTAGATCTTAGTTACAGCAGAGCTTTCAGAAAGGGCCATCAAAACAGTAATTTTGGAGATGAGTACTATGACTGCGGTTGATAATTGGAGGGATGACCAATGGATGCATGTCACACTCCTTCTAGCCTCTCGGATTCAGAGCTGTACCCAGCAGATCTCTAATTGCCACAGATACAGACACAGCACTGAATCTTAATTAGTTTCCATAGAAACCATGATTTCAGGAGAGGAAAAGAGATGTGAACTGAGGACAAAAGCAAAAATAAGCAAGATAAACAATATGTAGTGATACAGGGTGCTATAAAGTTTTTATTGGCACATTTGGAAAAATTGGCCAAGTAAGCAGCAATAAAATTTTATATCATAATGAGCACTTTTCTCCAGTTTTGTAGGAGGGAAATAGAAAATGTCTAGGAAAGGAAAAGCAGGCTATTTCTGACCACACTTGTTTATCACACTGGACTCAATGGTTTTGGAACAGCCTTCCAGATCTACTGGGTGTCTCCTCAGTGTTCTCTGTGGACAACAGGAATGGTAGCCCAAGACATCCAGACGGGAAAAGGTTGGAAAAGATTACTTTAGAAAATGCCTTCAGAAAATACCTTTCCTTACAGTTCTTTAGGACAATAAAGAATCATATGGCATATGTCTCCTCATGCAGAAGCAAAAAAGATAAGC